GAGTGATGTTTAAGTTTGATGCCAAGTACGTTTTACTAGTTGAAATAATGTAACCCAACAGATCTAGAGTAGGGGACCTTGCTTCGGACTATCTGAGTAGACACTACCTACTCTGTCGGGTTCCATTATTGTATATTATGTTATATCAAGAGCGTATTAAGAATGGTTCTTTATACGCTCTTGGTTACATATAGCATGCTGGTTGTGCCGCGAGCATTGACGCGCCTGTATTATCCAACCCCACGAGTATATATGCGACGTGTGTTTGTGTGCGTGCGTGCGTGCGTGCGTGCGTGCGTGCGTGCGTGCGTGCGTGTGCGTGCGTGCGTGCGTGCGTGCGTGCGTGCGTGTTCGGGCATGCGTGCGTGTGTGGGCGGGTCGGGTGAGCGAATTTGGTCAAAAAAGTGGGAAAACGGGCAGCTTTCACGCTATACTTCCTATGCCGTTTTCCAGGTGAATTACCAGGAAATGATTGTGTTCTTTTGTTTTTGTGGACTTTTAGTGGATCGATCGGAACAAAAGCCGTAACGCGCTGTGGGTGGGCATTTAAAATGGGCAGTTAATCAAATTTTAAATTCACTTCGTACTGGCACGCGCGCGCAGGTTTGTCGCGCATGCGCATGCGGTTACTCACGGTCACTTAATAGTTATCGTTGCGGATTTAATCGTGTCATCGGTCTACAGTCGCTATCAAGCAAGTGTTATTTGCATTTCGATATCGACTTATTCCCCGTATGCGTTTAATGTAGGCCTATGGATGCGGCTACTTTGGTCGTGATTGTTTATCCACTGCTTAGAACGTAAACAACGGATGTGCAGGATCTTAGCGCAATGTTAGCTTGGTATTGCACTATATAGGATCTAACTGTGCTTATTCGGTGGCATAAGTCGCGCAGTACCGCTCTATCTCTTGGTAATGGGGGGGGGGGGGGGTTGATCACGTGTTCGTAGGATGCACTAGTATGGTAGCGGTTTGCCGGTGTCGGTTTGCCGGTGTATGGACAGCGAGTCCCTTCCGCCGCCCCTCTGTCGGTTACCTCTTTTCCGCTATGTGGTCCAGGTAAATCCGTAACGCAGGTTTGTGTGTGTGTGTGTGTGTGTGTGTGTGTGCGTACGTGCGTGTGTGCGCGTGGGTGTTGTGCGCGCGCGTTTCTGTATGTGTGTATTCGTGTGCGTTTCAATTCACACTAATGCATCGGGCACGGCACGGCTGGATTATATCCTTGCTCTCTGTATCCCTCTAAAGCCACATGCAGCGCCACCAAAACCACGAGCTGGGCTTGAACCAAAATGCTAGGCTTTCGTTTGGAGATTCACGGCGGCCAGCATTCACGGCAGATGCATCGCCCCGCTACGCGTTTGATCGGCGTTTGTTCGGCACGTTCAAACGACGTGAAAGCCGATTTGCTATCGAAATGTTGCCGACACGTCCTGCGACGTCGCTGATAGAGAATCCGCTCGATTGTCGGCCGTAACGTTCTATTCCGACTAGTTTCTCAGCGGAGCACGGAATGCGATCGCATTAATAACTCATCTGGCTACGGTCTAGGTCTAGCTATGTAGAATAACAGGCCTGCATGTGTTATATATATTATATATAATATATTATATATATATTTATTTATTTTATAATATATATATATATATATATATATAATATATATCTATATATATTTATATATTTATATTATATATATATTGGCAGACTGTTCAGGAGTAAATAATTACAAACACCAATAATCAACGTCATACACATTTTTGTGATAATTTACTCATAATATATATATATATATATCAGGAGTAGATAATTATCTACTCCTGATATACATGTGTATACGTATAGCATGTATGATGTACACAGCTCTGTGCTTATGTGTTCGTTCTGCCATAGGCTAGCGTCTGCTACCTGCCATGTATAGGTTATTCGTATGCGTGTAGCACGTATCGATGCATGTTCATATTAGTCTACTAGCCAGCCTAGTGAACTCAGAATGTCGAGTACTATAAGGTTTTATGTTGGAATGCAATATACAGGTCATAAGGACTCAGAAATGGCCGGATGCTACTTTGCACATGTTAGCATTTTGCATATCGGCCTAATTAGCATATTAATTAGGTCAAATCACTGAAATCAAAATATCTTCCTTAGTAATGCACATAGAGACTTTATTCGTGTGTCTAGACCCATGTTTTTCGACACTAAGCAATTGATCTGACATGGATTCAAACCCCTACCATCCTTCGCACTGCTAGAAATCCAATTATGGTGCCATGCATAATGAGGTAAACCGTAACTCACCATAACTCAGCAACTGTTGGAAGACAGAGACTTTGTTTTGATGTTTAGACCCATGTTCTTACCACCAAGGATTCATCGTCTATAGGACTATATTTTTAACAGTAATTATTATTATATATGAAAATGTTAAATATTACGATGCAGCTAGATCATGGAATACATAGATGAACACAACACCAATCAAACTAGCATACTATTCGCCTTCGTCTTCATGGTTGTGATCATTCTCTCCCAGTCTCCAGATCATCTTCTCCTCTTCTGCTCTTCATATCCTTCTTCAGCATCATCTCGTTGTGTCCGGTGAGTTACAACACTCATTTCCTCCTTCACACACACCGTACAGTAGCAGGTACATGACAATCCATTTGCCTGCACAACCACACTTCCTGCTGCAGGCATTCCCTCTGCTCGGCAGCTGCAGCTAAATGACGTCCATGGGTTTTTTTGGTGCGGTCGGTTCTTTTGACAGCACTGGTACCGACTTTCATCATTTAGCAGTAAGCTTCCCATCCATAGTTAGTGATTTGACACCACCAGGAGGTCATGCGCTTGTCCGCGCCTTCCATTAGCATCATTTGGAGATGTGCTGCTCCGGATATGGATCCCAAGGTTGATGTCTGTTGGTGGAAGGGACTTCAGCGATGGAGGATTCTTTCGCTTGCGATAAATCTCGTACTGGAAGCATTCATTTGAGTGGGCTTTTCTTCTGGCCATATAAATGTAGGAAAGAAGGCTTTGCCAGTTGCCATCAGGTCACTGGTCAGTTGACATCGTTCTCTCCAAGAACTGAGTTTTAGTCCAGCTAATATCAGTCTGGTTGAGCACTTTCAGGGCGCAATTTCCCTTTCCCACTAGGATAGGAAACAGTGTCACAGCCCTGAGAGTGCGTGCATTCCACAATATTCCCTTGCATTTCTCCCGCAGCATTGGTGACAGTGGCATGATGTCAAAGCAGCGATCCATCCACTTCTCCATCTGAACATGGCATGATACGCCCATCCTTCCAGCACCAGTACAACGAGCAGCACGAATACATCTGTGTCATCACTAAAGGATGCGCACAGTCCGAGCTCCGGCCGATGCAGCACGAAGGCATGTAGCTGATGAGAGATATGTCTGCTTCACATGATGCACAATTATATTATTCTACCAACCGAATGAACTTATTTCAATGAGTTATGCACAATACTGTTGGCTTGGCTCATAAGTTCAATGGTGCTACCAAGATCATGTGTGCAGATGTTGTGAGAGCTGCTGTTGTTGTTCTTGTTTTTCATGATGGCATCACGACAGCTAGTGGATGAGTGTTCAGAGTCAGTTGATATGCAGTGGATCCTTCCCCGGCTCTCCTCTGCCTCTCGTGATCCTTGTGCACTGATACTTCATGGCGATCAAAGATGACATAAGTGTCTGCCCTCTGTAGTGATGAGGCGTGATTTCAATTCCTTTCAGCAAGATCACTCACTGTACCGAGGATGGCAAGACAATGTGGTAGGCAGTAGCTGAGAGGTGTCCGCACCAGACAGAGTGTGCGGGAGAGGGAGGGTTCGCTTATGATGACGCTACACGAGATGTTTACTAGTAAGCTCGGACTTGTATTCCATTCTCGGATAGAATGCATATCGTCTCGATGAGTGACTGGAGGTAACAGGGCAGAGCTCATGATGCGAAGAGCAGCAGACAACTCAACGGTTCGCTCTTCTGTCGCACCAAGGCGGGCAGGAGACGGGGCGAATACCGTTTCGCAGTCATAGACAATTTTGTTTTTCATTTATACTTTTGAATTTGTAGCAGCATTGAACTTGTGAGGGGCCCACGCCAGTATATGTGGCATCATGACCTGAAGCAGAGCATATCTCTCATCAGCTAGCATGCTTCGCTGCTGCATCGGCCGGAGGCTCGACTGTGGCGGCATCCTTAGTGATGACACAGAATGTAATTCGTGCTGCTCGTGTACATGCGTCGCTGGAAGGATGGCGTACTCATGCATCGTTGCAGATGGAGAAGTGGGTTGGATGCCGTGCTTGACATCAAAATCCACTGTCACAAGGCTCCGGGGCAGAAATGCAAGGGAATATTGGAATGCACGGCACTCTGCAGGCTGTGACAGCTGTGTCGCTATCGCTAATGGAAAAGGGAAAGTGTCGCGCCTGAAAGTGGCTCACGCAGACTGTATATTGCTGGACTAGACTGCAGTTCTTTGAGCGGACGACGTCAGCTTGACAGGTGACTCTGATGGCAACCTGAGGCAAGCCTTCTTCTCATTCATATGGCCAGAAAAAAAGGCACGTCAATGAATGCTTTGCAAGGTACGAGATTTTATGCAAGCGAAAGAAATCGCTCGCATCCGTGAAGTCCGCGTTCACAACGAGACATCAAGCCTGGATTGCATATGGAGAGCAGCATCTCCAAATGATGCTATGGAAGGCTGGCAGACAAGGCTGACCGCTCCTGCTGTCGCAAATCCTAACTATGGATGGGAAGTTTACTGTAAATGATGAAGTGGTCGGCGCAGTGCTGTACAAAGAACCGCTACCGCACCTAAAAAACCTCATGGAGCTCATTCAGCTGCAGCTGGGCCGAGCAGAGGGGAATCGCCCGCAGCAGAAGTGTGGTTGTCGCAGCAATGGAATTGTCATGTACCTGTACTGTTGTGTGTGAAGGAGGAAATGAGTGTTGTATACTCACTGACAGCAACGAGATGATGCTGAAGAAGGATATAGAAGAGCAGAAGGAAGGAGAAGATGATCTGGAGACTGGAGAGAATGATCACAAACAATGCAAGACGAAGGCGAATAGTGATGTAGTCTTGATGGTGTTGGGTGTTTCATCTATGTATTCATCGATCTAGCCTTGCATCGTAATATTTAAGGATTTTCATATACTAAAATCAACTTAGCTGTTAAATATATAAGTCCTACTAGACGATGGAATGCCTTGGTGTTAGAACATCGGGTCTACGAACATCAAAAAAGGTCTGTATCTTCTCCAACGTTGCCTGAGTATGGTGATTTACGGTTTTACCTCAATTATGGCATGGCAGCGCATATTGATTTCTGGCAGTCGAAGTGATGGTAGGGGTTTGAATCCATGTCAGATCAATTGCTTAGTGTCTGAAACATGGGTCTAAGGACAACATCACGAATGAAGTCTCTATGTGGCAAAATTACTAAGCGAAAGATATTTGATTTGTGATTTGACGCTAATAATGATGGCTCAATGTAGCCGATTATGGCAAAATGGCTACAATTGGCAAATTAGGCATCGCGGCAGTTTCTGAGTCTTTATGACGCTGTATAGTTGCCATTGTCAAATAAGACGCTTATACGTCACCTCGAGCATTTCTAGTTGCAATGAAGACACATGGGGTGGCTAGTAGACTATATGCCATACTGACTAGTCGGAGAAAGCGTCGCTGGATCTCTACAACTCCGTAGGTGCGCATCGGTACTCTTATTATACGTACTGTTGACGGTTGCTTAACACTATACGCTGTGTATGTATAGTATTTCAGCATGCTGTGCGTGTAGTATAGGGGGGGCGGGGGGGAGATGACACGGTCTCGGTAGATGGCTTTAAACGTAACATGTATAACTGAACCTATGAACTTTACGGTGGTTGTATGCGCAGGCAGGTTTGCGGCTAAACTACGAGCGTGTATAGTTCGAAGTCGTTGCTTATATTATTATAGAACTTTGGCGGATGCTTGTGCTACGCGTGGTCGTAGCTCGTATCATGTACATGTAGCTGTATGGCTGGTAGTGCTAACGTAACACGTCGCTGCGTTATTGAAGTACTGGTTTGTTCTCACAATGGCCGCTGTGTTATGAGAACACACGGCCTAGAGCTAGACCTGTTGCCTATATGTGTGTTGTGTATATAAGTATAATAATATATATTATATACATTATATATTATATAGTATATATATATATATACCTATATATATTATATATGTGCTGGCGTGCGTGCGTGGAGTTGCGTGCGGTGGCGTGCGTATGGGTGTGTGTGTGTGTGTGGAGGTAGAACTTGAGCAGGGTTTCGTTAACAACAGCCCCCGAGTAGCATCGTGGGCGCTGTCTATGTGTTCTTTCTGTCTGAATACACGCGTAGTTGCATGATGTTGAATCCCGAAGGGGCAAATTATAGTTGATTGCGGATTTACTCGGAAACCGTTGTGCATGCGCGTGGGCGAGCGGTAAGTGCATAGTTGTATGATAATCTATAACCGTTCACTAACCTTACCTGAGTCACCAAATATCAGGTGTGAATAAAAACAATTGTTTATTCGCTCATGTTCGTATAAAGTAGTCTTGATCTTGCGCTACTTAATTTGAGAATTTCGCCGACAGGTGGCAGCATATATGCAGAGATTACCGAATGGCAGAGTACAGTAATTGTTAGCGCTAGTTTAGACGCCGTTGGGACAATCTTGAGCAGGTGTGCAGTGTGTCTTTTGGGCAGTTATTACTTTGCGCATGTGGCTCTATGGCTTTACAACCGACTAGACTGAAAATGCGTTAGCGATTGATTGAAAACGATGTCTTCCATTTGTTACTAGAGACAGTAAAAGAGACACGTCGAAGTCAGGTTGACGTATTATTATAAACAAGAGATAATAAATACCTTATTATTATGGTATGTATTAGCTCTTGATATAATGTATGCGACTGGATTTTATCTGGAAGTTCCATTATTTACTCTCGATTGTATCTCTGTTCGTGCGCGTGTGTATATATATACGTATATGTACAAATATATTACATATACAAAGTGTATATTTTTCGGCTTCTTGTTTTGTATTGCCGAGAAGCTGCTGCTTATAGCTACGTAGCTAGCGTACGTACGTGACAATCATCTCGCCACTATCCGTTTTCCACTCTCCTATTTTAGAAGGTAGAGGGAGAGCTCTGTGGAGCGAGAGAGCAAGGCAAGACGATAGCGTATGTTTGTCAATCTCGTGTTTTAGAAGGTAGAGGGAGAGAGAGCGTAGCGTGTATGCGAACGTGGACATCTGCCACCGTTTGCGCTCGTATATGAGAAAACGTACGACGAAATTGCACGTGCGCGTGCTCGTGTGTATGTGCTGGTAGTAATGCGGCGGTGTGCGCGCGTGCGTACACGCGTACATACGTGTGTGCGTACACGCGTACGTACGCGCGTGCGTACACGCGTACGTACGTGCGTGCGTACACGCGTACATACGTGCGTGCGTACACGCGTACATACGTGCGTGCGTACACGCGTACATACGTGCGTGCGTACGTGTGTGCGTACACGGGTACGTACGTGCGTGCGTACACGCGTACATACGCGCGTGCGTACACGCGTATATGCGTGCGTGCGTACACGCGTACATACGTGCGTGCGCACACGCGTACATACGTGCGTGCGTACACACGTATATGTGTGCGTGCGTACAGGTGTACACGCGTACCTACATGTGTGCGTACACGCGTACATACGTGCGTGCGTACACGCGTACATACGTGCGTGCATACACGCGTACATACGTGCGTGCGTACACGCGTACATACGTGCGTGCATACACGCGTACATACGTGCGTGCGTACACGCGTACATACGTGCGTGCTTACACGCGTACATACGTGCGTGCGTACACGTACATGCGTGCGTGCGTACAGGTGTATACGCGTACCTACGTGTGTGCGTACACGCGTACATACGGGCGGGCATACACGCGTACATACGTGCGTGCGTGCGTACGTGCATACATACGTGCGTACACGCGTACCTACATGTGTGCGTACACGCGTACATACGTGCGTGCGTGCGTACACGCCTGCGTGCGTGCAGTTAATTTCAGCGGCATAAGATGAGATCTAAATCGGCAGCTGATACAGCTTCATCGTGAAAACTTGCAGCGCCGACATTTCGTCGACCTTGGCTCGCTCTGTCAGCGCTGGCGTCATCATTAATTATGATTATATCAAAAATCGTAAATGTTGAAAATCGGAAAATGTTTTTAATGTGCAATCGGACGGAAATATAATCGTGGTAAAGGCATTGATCACTCTTATATTACGCGCCACACACACATCGAATTACGGCTCACGTTGTTTAACTCGTGAACAACTGCGAACTTTATTTCTCCGCTCATGCATGCATGTGCGGATGCTGCTGCAGAAACGGTAACACCATAAGAGTTCCTCGCTAATTTTCGACCGCACTAATTGCGCATGAAGTAAATTAACGCTGTGTTCGCTGCGTGGTAGAAAGCTTATAAATTGATAGTTCGTTATTATTCCCTAGAGAGGGCTCTGACTGTCATCTTCCGCGTGTCAAGTGCAAACAGTAGTCAATAGTATTATAGAAAGTACACGATGGTTATATAACGAAATCTCCATTAGGCGACACGTTCCGGGTTTTACTAGTTTGATAGTCGATGCAAATTTTTATGCTAGAGATTCGACTGTTTTTGTCTTTTTAATCGGGACACGCACACGCGTGCGCTGACGCACACATCCGGTAGATAGAAAACGTAAAGGTTAAAAGGTTGCTTTTATGAAACGTCTTTACGGCTTTTAGTCATTCGTGTGTGAATCGGGATGGCGATTCATGCAACATTTGTGTTGGAATATTCGAAACCTGGACGTTCGTGGCAATGTGCGCGTGTGCGTGCGTGGGTAAGTGAGCGTGAGCGTGCGTGGGTAAGCGCGTGTGTGCGTGCATGAGTAAGTGCACGTGGGCGTGCGTGGGTAAGCGCGTGTGTACGTGCATGGGTAAGTGCGCGTGTGCGTGCGTGGGTAAGTGTGTGCATGCGTGCGTGGTTATGTGCGCATGTGCGTGCGTGGGTAAGTGCGCGTGTGCGTGCGTGGGTAAGTGTGTGCATGCGTGCGTGGTTATGTGCGCATGTGCGTGCGTGGGTAAGTGCGCGTGTGCGTGCGTGGGTAAGTGTGTGCATGCGT